CCTGCACTGGACAAGTGGAGTCATGCCTTCAGGTGTCCTTAGACACCCCTGAGCTTTGAAGCAGTCTGAGTGGTTCTCTACATAGCCATAATGAACTCTAGTAATTTATTAGACTTTTATAAGCAATTCTATCTTTACTTTATAGGTCAGAAAGCTACAGCTAGTATTAGCAAATTGGTGGGTTTAACCTGTTTTTTTCTGTTTGTTTTTGAGACAGAGTCTTGCTATGTGGTTCAGGCTGGCCTTGAACTCACTGTGCACCCCACGCTGGACTTCAACTCATAGCAAACCTGCCTCAGCCTCCTAAGTACTGGGATTCAGGTGTGTGTCACCAGATGCCAGGACAAGGTGGGTATAAAGTGTGTTTTCTTTGTTTCTCTCTCATATGGAGAAGCTAGTAACAGGAAAGGTTCATTGTGATCAGCAAAGTGGTGTTGGTATGGGGAACTATTTGGGGCCCACTGGTCTTTGGGTGGAGGCATCAGAACCAAGTGTCATCCAAACACTGCAGGAGGACTTAGCTGGACTTAGGAATAAATAAAATATTATACACAGTAAAACGTCTCCCACAGGAACAGAGGGGACAATCAGAGTAGCAAAAGCCTCTTTTACACGCTTGGCTGTTGTCAGTCCTGTATTTTCACTCTAGAAAGACCATGGACGCAACCCCTACGAGTCCGTATAAAGGACAAGTGACGACCAGTGTTGCTCCATTGGGCTCTGAGGCAGTCAGAAAAAGTGTTCTCTCCTGGGCGTTTCTACTCAGATGTTCTGAGACCGTTTCTGCCAAGACGACAACAGAAAGAATGCTGTGCTCAGAGTCCACATGTGCAACAGGTTTTCCCAGAGGTTGCAGCATTCCAAAGTCCTGAGGCACACAGATTTGCAAGAGATGAGTCAGACAGGAACAACCAGAGTGGGAAAAGATGGTGCAGGAGTCCTGCACCCGAGGGGTACAGCGAGGCTCCCTTCTGGAGCCGCCAGGTGGCGCCCCTCCTCCCCAGGAGGTGTGGTGAGGGCCGCTGGGAGAAATCCCGCGGGCAGGAGGAGCCCGCCCAGGGTGCTCTTCACCAATTATAACACGGAGCACACATGGGCCAGGGTGTGCTGCTGTGTGTGTGTACCAGATGCCCAGACAGATGCAAATAGCATGTATTGCAAGCGTACCAATAAAAAACACGTACGAGTGTGAGCAAAAATGATTGTCATTGTTTTTCTAGATTGACCCCCCAACCGCCAATACTACAGCGCTAAAGCTGAAAACAATGGTACCCCCAGCCCCTTCTTGCATTCTCCTGCCTAGGTAATGATACTGGGACGACAGCATCTAATCCAGGTTAAGAAATCTTTGCCTGAGGTCCCAGTGTCAGCGGGCGGGGCTGGAAATCTCTGATCTCACGGAAACCCCGGTTTCCTTTTGCTACTGAAGAATGCACGTTTGTCTTTTCTAGTAATATTTATTTCTATCACCTAATGACTTCCTACCATGGGACAGGTTCTGCATTCAGCACTTTATAGTAATCGTTTCGTTTAGCAAGATCCTATCCCAAGAAATAAATAAAAGCAATGAACCCGTGTATTACTGAGGGCTAAGCTACACACTGTATTAAAAGCTCCTACAAATGGTAAGGAAATATTCAGGTGACAAAGAATACAAACAGTGTCCAGAGAGTAAATGCATGTGCACCTTCAATCACATGAAAAAAACGGAAACTATACTAGGGTGCCCCTTTTTACTAATATCAGATTAATGAAAACACTTTACAACTCTTTCTATATTGAGGCTATGGGGAAATAACTACTTACTATATTTTGTTGGTGAGAGTAAAGTATGTGGAGCATAATTTATGGACATTAGTGGACCCTTGGGTTATGATCAGCCTGACATGTGAATAACTCAGGTTAGGACCTGAATTTTAGGTTTAACCTACAACCACAGTTTTGAGTTATGAGCTAAATGCCAGCCACTTGTGGGGTTGTAAGCGAAGACTTGTGATGCCAGGAAAGAGAATACAAGCATCCACCTGAGCTCAGATGCACACATTGGTGGATGTGATTTTTGTCAGTGCTTCTGTGGTAGTCAAGGGCTGCAAGGAGAATACATACATACAGGACACAGAATTTATGTTATTCTATGATGGTCACTCGGAGTTAAATACAAGAAAGTGCAGGAAATCTGTCCACAACACTAAAGACCTAGAAAATCTGAGGGCCTGGATCCCACAGCAATGTCCTGCATGAGTCCAACTAAAGACCAAGGGCCTAAGATGATGTCTCCCATGAGTCCAACTGGGGCTTTAGGGCCCATGACAAGGACTCATGCAAGTCTGCTTCACCGATCTGCACTTGGAAGGCCCAAAGGTCAGCGGTGGAAGCTAGAAAGTCTGTGCCAGCAGGTGGAGCTGTGCCAGTAGGTTGAGGGATCTGCACTGGAGCCAAGAAGTGACACTCAAAATAAGGGGCAGGGCTCCCCTGAAAAGAGTCACAGCCATTCATCCTCAGTGACAATGAGGTCCCAAGCTCCTCCGACAGTGAGAGCAGCCAAACTCATATCAGGAAGCCAGCATGACGAGCTTCTTCTGGAGACTGAACAGCACACATTTCCCCTCTGGAGCCAGAAAGCAGTGCTCAACATAAAATCCAGAGCTTCCTCATAGTGAACAGCAGCCACTCTCAGAGACAAGGTCCTGAGTTCCTCAGATGCTAACAGCTGAGTTCAGAGCAGGGGAGCCAGCATGACAAGCTCCTCCAGGAGAACCAGCAGCTCCAAACTAGCAATACTTAGGAGAACCCACAGTGGGACACTACGCTCTTCCTCTCCACCTCTCCTTTCGTGCTGGCAACCTTCCTCAGAGGGCCATCTACATGCAGCACCGTGCTGATTCAGGTCAGCTGGTATTAAGCTGACTACCAGTTTGTAACCCACTACAGCTTTACAAAATGACTATGATCACTGGTATTAAAATAGCCCTCCAAAGCCATAAAAGAAGCTAAGGAAAGGTAAAGAAAACAACCACAATTTTAAAAAATAATAGTTTTAAAGAAAAGACAGAAACAGAGAGCCTCAGAGAAGTTTTTAGTTCTGAGAAGGCTGTGCCCTAGTGAACCAGTGGCAGGTCCTGGTTCACCAATCCAGACTCCCAAGGAGAGAAAGGATGGCAGAGAGCCTGGTCCTGAGGCTCTTGTGGAAGGGGCTCTGCTTCCAATCAGTAACCACCTTCCATGCATCCCCCTCCTGCAAGCCAAAGGTGTCAACTTGAACGGTGAGGACAGTGCGAAACTGGTGCTTCTGGTAAGCTAGGCACATGCTGTAACTTTTTGGTGAATACACTAGGAAAATTATTGGACTTTCTGGTAAATTAAACACCTCATGCAACCCATTTTTATTATGTAAAGATGAGGTAAGGGGTGTTTTGGGAGGTCCAGAATGCATGATGGGTATTTCCAATATTTCTTATGGGAGAAATAGTCTTGATTACAATCTACAGGAGTTACCGCCAGAGTTGAGTGTGTAAGTTAAGGCCCACTGCTGTGTTTCAAAATGATGGAAAATGTGAGCTGCACAATAAAATGGCACTCAGGAGGAATCAGGTACCGGTAAATCTTGCAGCGTGGGTGAGACCTAGGAAGGGACCAGTGATTCAAACCTGTTCTGGGACATATTCCCTCCATCCCCAGCTGAAAGTCAGCTCAAAATCTGGAGCTTTTGAAAAATTGTTAAAATTATGTTTGGTTTATTGTTTTTTGTTTTGTTTTGTTTTAAGATAGGGTCTCACTGTGTAGCCCAGGCTGGCCTCAAACTCATAGAAATCCCCCTGCCTCAGCCTCCAGAGTGCTAGGATTATAAGCAAATACCTCCACACCCAGTTAGAACCTTTTTTTAAAAAAAATCAAACATTCTTTTCTCTTGGTATTGTCTGGGAACATAAATTTTCACAAAACAGAGGGTGACGAAATTGGTCAGTGGTGGAGCGTATCCTTAGTGTGCTCTAGAACCTGTCTTTGATCACTGAGTACTGCGAGGAAAGAAAGTAAGAAAGAGAGAAAATTCTGTGGTGCCCTGAATTTAATTATAAGGACTAGAAGACAGAAGGGAGAAGATGGGAAGTTAATCAGTTGGCAGCTGTGAGGCCTTGTGTTAAATCCCATCCCAACAGACCACAGGGTACCATCCCAGCCTTGTTAAATGCACACTTCCTGGTCCAGTAACCTGAACCAATCCAGAAGCAACAAGCTTTCTGCACTGTCCTCCTATCCCGACACTTCCTGTTCCCTATTGTACTGCTCCTCTCATCCATAGCCAGTGTGGGTTCAGTGTAAATGATCTGTGCTTTCCTCCACCAATTTTTTTGTTATAAAAGTGCTCTTGGGGAGCTAGGTATGACGGTGCACATCTGTCATCCCAGCACTCAGGAGGCTGAGGCAGGAGGACCACTGTGAGTTTGAGGCCAGCCTGGGCTACATAATAAGTTTAATGCCAGGCTCAGCTACAGAGTGAGACCTGGTCTCAAAAAGCCAGAGCAAAACAAAATGCTCTTGGGGGAAGACCATCTCTTTAACGATGGTGCTGGGAAAACAGGCTGCCCACTTGCAGAACTGAAAATGGTTGGAAGGCAACACAAGGGGACCATTTGGAGGCAGAGGCACAGTCAAAGATTTCAGGACTCTCAAATTCACAAAAACTAATATGGGATTGCATCAAATTGCAAAGCTTCTGCACAGTAAAAGAAAAAGCCAGAATAAAAAGACAACCTGTAAAATGGGAAAAGATCGTCAGCTATTTGTCTGCTAGGGGACAGTTACCTGGAATATAGAAAGAACTTAAAACACACTCACACACCAGGCCACAAGATGCAGGTAACAATTCTTCCTTTAATGTGATTCGTAGTTATTTGGATGACCTGCTCTGGTCCCCCTCAGGTTTGCAAGGGGGCCTCATGGCTAGCTTTTTCTGCATGACAGCTCATGTGTGATCATGAACTTAGTTTTCAGCCAGAGCACTAGAAGCCGTGTCTCTTGAGGTATTTGGCACGTGCAAGGACATCATTGCAGAAGTCGCAGCTCAGGTCCTGGCTGCTTCTGACGAGGCCAGCATCCCCGCTGTAGGCACAGAGCCCACCTGAAATGCATGTGGTAGGTTAATCACCTTCAGGAGCCTCAGCAAAAATCCCTTAGATTCTCCTTCCTACTGCCAGGCAGGGGGCACCATTGGTGTGCATAAATGTGGAGCAAGGCACTGAATTTGTCTGTAGGGTTCCACCCTGTGAAACATCAGACCGAGGGGCTTATACTTACCTCTCAGGTACTGGCTGGGGGTCCAGGTTGGAAATGTCCTCTGGATTTCTTTGATTCTATTGGTCAGAACCTTCGTCACCTGGGAAACCTGGGGCTCGCTGATCCAGGATGTGGGAGTGAAGACGTTTGTGTCCTAGAGGTCGAGAGGCAGAGGGAAACAGTGGGCGGAGAGTGACACCAAGTCAGGAATTCAGGGTCTTTCTTTCCCCCCTCTCTGTTTTTCTCATCCCACCTTCGGAGGAACCAGTGCCACCACTGATCTTCCTGGGGATTAAAGAGCAAAGCCACTGTTCAAGACACAGCAGACCGGTGTCAGGGAGGCTGTGGGGGGATTCGAATCTCTGCTGTTGACAGGCATGAAAAGTGATATGGAAGCAGTACGGAAAGTTCTCAGAAAATTAAAACTAGGAGTGCATGTGATCTAGCAACCCTGTATCCAGGTATTCAAAATAATTGAAATCAGGATCTCAAAGAAATTTTAGCTCACTGCAGAGCCCTGCACGGGAGCCAAGTGTTAGAAGTGACAGAGTGCCCTTGACAGACCAATGAACAGAGAAAATGTGTCATAGACCTACCGTGGAGTATTGCTCAGTCTCAGAAAGAAAGGCCATTCAGTAACAGGGACAATATATAGATAACCCTGCAGGACATCAGCCTAAGTGAAAGACAGAAACCAAACACATATGGTTGCACTCATAGGCGGGATCTAAACTAGTCACACATGCAGACACGAAGAACAGAATGGTGTCCTAGGCTGGGCTGGGGGAAAGGAAGGTGGAGAGTTGCTAGTTGATGTGTACAGAATTTCAGCTTTGCAGGTAAAATGTTCTGGAAATCTGATGTGCAACACTGTACTTGTAATGAATGCTATGTATTACGCACAATAGCTATGGAATTTTAAATAAAATCCATAGAGATCTCATGGTAAACATTCCTACAAAAAAGGAAAAAAGAAGAAAGTAAAGTGACAGGGTTTGGGCTAAGGAAGTGACGCACAGTCATCTCTTTGCTGCCTCGGGTAAGGGTGAGAGGTCCACCTGGAGCCCAAGAGGACTGAGTTGGTGCAGGTTCCACTGCAATGCGCTCTACTGCTGCAAACGCAGAGCTCCTCAACAGGCCGGAAAAAGGCTCTCCGTCCCAGAAATTCTCCTTCCAGGTGATCGGGATATCCAGCGGTGCCTCTCACCCTTCCCCTACTCCTTTGGTTTCCACGCTCATGTAGAGTTCACATTATTTAGGAAAAATGTCTTAATGTAGGGGGTTCTTACTTCATCATGTTCCCCAAGAGCCAGATGTCACAAAGGAGTGAGCAGGGGGCAGTAGTAAAGATGCCAGTCCTGACCCAACAAGATGTCTTTATCCCAGTTGTGGGTTTTGCGGGGTGACTGGTTCCATGTGAGCTCATCTCCTCACTTGTCAAGGATGGATTGTGGGTCCCCGATTTGATAAGTTATTTGAAAGAACTTTGTGGTTTCATAAAAGGAACCACTCATGCAAAGCCAATTTAAGGATCATTGAGCCACGAATGTTCTTAAAAGCTTACTTATTCCTCACACATTTCTTAACAGTGGTCTGAGATACAGTAGGAAAAATTGAGCCTCAGACCAAAGGCTGAGGTTGACCCCAGCTAAGAGTTAATCAGACCAGAGCTTGACCAGTTTCCTAGAAGTCTCTCTCCAACAAGTTATGCCAGGCAGAGTCAGTGCAATAAAAGCACTCAACCACCAGAGCTAAGAATTGTATGGAAAGAAGATAAGGGAAAATGAACTTAGAATTTGTTATGTATTCACCAGTACCAGGCACTTTTTCATATTGTTTCGTTGAATACTACCTGTGGTGTGTTGTATGGAACTGTGCCATTAACAACCTGAAAAACAGGCCAATGTGTCCTTAGAACTGTCAGCCGCAGAAGGACCACATGTGGCACTGGCTGATGGAGAGGTACCTGCACCACATTGATGGGAACGCCCACTTTGATTGGAACACTGCCCCGGAGAGACTCCCTGGACAGGATCCCAGCGATCACTGCAGGATCCACGCAATACTTCCGGCCGATCGTCCGCAGGATGGGCTGGTATCTCAGCAGGTGAGGCAGGTGTATTTCAGCCAGTCTTTCAGAAGCACGGACTCCTAAGGCAAATGCAGGAGGAAGGTTACAGCTTGGGGGTGACTTACACTGAGAGGGGAGCCACTGAGGAGAGAGAGATCTGGGAGCCCAGGGTTTGGTCCTAAACCCCTGGTGCCACTTCCTGACCTGACATTAAGATTCTCTCCCTAAGAGCTTGAGCCAGTGCCCCTCCCATGCATCTCCTGGGAAACACGTCCTCTATTTCGACCAGTGCCCCTCAGCCAGGCTCCTGATGTCATTCTGTGGGCATGGGCATCACTGGGCCCCTCCTACACACCCCAGACAGGACTCCTCACAAGATGTGCAGTGCCCTTCACTCTGCTGGCCGGGAGCACACTGTGGAGCACAACTTCCCCCAAGCCCTTCAAGAAGTCCTGGGAGTCCCCCGCTCAGTGGCTTCGCCTACAATTGTGGAGACCATCTCTCCACTCCTAAGTGACACCAAGCAATTGTGTATGTTTAAACCCTTACTTCACAAGAATGCTAGGAACAAGGAAGATGCACACCAATTTTCCTGGCTGGCCTGCCTTTCTAAGCGAGGCATTGACGGCTTCAAGAAACGCTGGCATTCCATGACACTGCTCAGAGCTTACAGCACAGAAAGCCTGTCCCCCAACCGTTCAAGGGTGGTTCAGGGAAGCTGGGAGATGTTTCTCTCCCTCTCTCTCTCTCTCTCTCTCTCTCTCTCTCTCTCTCTCTCTCTGTCTCTCTCTGTGTGTGTGTGTGTGTGTGTGTGTGTGTGTGTGTGTGTGTGTGAATTTGGTACAGAACTTCACAGCAGGTTACAGGGATAACAGTAATAGGTGCCACAATATATCTTGTTATCTTCACAATAGTTGTTCTTTCAATCATGCATAGCAAAATAAAATGAAATACAGGCATTATAGAACTTATCAAAAGAGAATATTGAATAGAGCAATACCATAATCAGAATAAAGCAAAACAGTGGTAAAAATATTTGTTTTCAAAGAGATGGTAGAAGGAAATCCCCCTTATTTGCTATATTGCATAATGTCAACCTCCTAAGAGCTGCTCAGACCTCTGGCTGAGCTGGGAGATTTGGTTGAAGAAGCAGAGCCAGGACTCTGACAGGGTCCTTGGACTCCATGCCCAGTGCTCTTCACACCTCTCCTTAGCTTGGGTATCTCCTTAGCAGGACCCCGGGGACCATGTCCAGAGAGCCAGAGGAGACAGGGAGACATAAGTACCGCAGTAGGTCAGGCCGTAACGTCTTCCAGTCCCGCAGGATGCTCCTGGGGTGTCCAGGGTGCCGATGTTCCCATAGCAACCCCAACTGCTGCTTTCCGATGAGTCTGCACATGGAGAAAGCCTTAGCCTTAGGCACTGCCCTAGAACAGAGCTCATCACTTTCCTCCCTAAGAATGAAATGACCATTCCTAAAGGCAACTGTGAGAAGAGAAATAATGATAACTTGACTCTGCAGTTGAAGCTGTAGGAATTTATCCAACAGTAAACCAAGAAATCACCACAGATGATGCTGTGGTACTGAGTTCCCGCCTGCTATCCTGTAGACAGGAGGGTCTACTGGGGCAGCTATGCTCTTTGCAAAGCTCAGGTTGTCTGATGCTGCTGGGTAGGGGTTCTGGAGCAAATCAGAGATTATTTGCTCCCTGTGCCTTAATCTTCATCTTACCTCACTCAGCATACACTCAAATACTCCTGACTTCTTGGCCAGGTGAGATGTTCAGGTTGGTTCTGGAGAAACAGATAAAACCTGAGTCTCCCAGGGAATCTCAACTCTGACTCATGGGAAAGTCACTGCCCATATCCTGGGCCTGAGGTTGGCTTCACCTTCTCTTGGTGTGTTCTAGGTAGGCGCCTCAGGTTGTAAAAAGGGTGCCCATGTGAAGCACAGAGCTAGGTCTCTAGGCGGGGAGAGGAGTCCTCTCTCTTCTGCTTCTTCCATGTCTCTATTTGCATCTTTCTCCATGCAAAATTTAGTCTTCATTGAAAGGGAGGTGCTGTTTTAGATGCTGAGATTTCACAAAGGCCCCATAAGAGAGGGTTGCTTTTTCTTTTCATGCCTAGGGTCAAGGAGTATTAACAGTAGCCAACTGAGCCTCTGTATTTGTGGGTTCTGCCCCTATGGTTTCATTCAATCACAAACCAAAAACATCTGAGGAAAGAAACTGCCTGTGCTGAGCAGGAACAGACCTCTGTGCTTGGCACTGTTCGCCAGGCAGCACAGCTGAATGAATATTTGCACAGCATTTGCATAATGTTAGGAATGAACCGTAACCTAGAGGTGACTGGTGGAGTGGGGAGGATCCGTGTAGCATCCATCAGACACTACACCATCTTATAAAAGGGACAGGAGCACCTGAGGATGCGGGTACCTGGCATCCTGACTCATGACTGTAATTTACCATTGGCACTAGGATGGGTGTTTTAATGCCTACCTCAATTCTAGGGAAACCCAACCTTTCATGGGAAATTGGGGGAAAGACGGGTTTGTCAGGGACTGTTCTGAACTCCAGGATTTGCTGGACAATACAGAAGAAAAAAATAAGATTTCCACTGTGGTTTCGAGCATAAAAGTCCCGCTGTGTTCTTGTGCTTCCCTTTCCCATTTCCAAGGTGGGAAACAAAACATAACAAAACCCACTCACCCATCAGGGCTAGGAGGCCTAGAAGCAGCCACAATGCGGACATCCTGAAGATCTGGCTCTGCTGCTCCTGAAATGCTTTGAAAATGAACATTAGCTCAAAGATGTAAAAATGTCGCTCACTGTCATTACAGTGCGAGACGTTTCTGGGGAAGGGGGCATGAAGGGAGCAAGGTTTCCTGTGTCAGGCGAGTGGGATAAGTGCTCCATTCTTCCTTAAAAAGGAGGAGATTTCCACCCGGACCACAGGGAGGAGTCACAGTGTGGGGACACTGAGTATTGGCAGCAAGTCATGATGCCTTCATTCCGGACACCAGGAACACTGCGACCTGACACAAGTCCCTGAGAAGCAAACTTCTGATGCGTGTGTCTCATCCGAAGGGCCTCTCCACTGTCCACATGCGACATGGAAGGGACAGTCTTGTGTTGGCGGCCTCCCTGACTTGGATTCTTTGTCAGTTAGGTAGGAGGAAAGGCCACGCTGTCGTTGGTGCCTTGGGACCTATGCCAACTCTTCCCTTTGGGGTGAAAGAAGGAGCCTGGAGCCATTTCCCACTGCTCCCACTCCCACACTGGGGAATTCCAGACCCTCTCAGTCATCCGAACCAAGTTCCCTGTTCTCCCTCTGTAGTCCACCCCCAACCTGCCCAGAGCTGGGGGTGGAGCTCAGGGCCTTCACACTGAGATATTTCCCCAGCCATGTTTCGTACCATCACAGGGTTTAAGTCACTGAATTGCACAGGCTGAGCTCTAACTTGCCATCCTTCTGTCTCAGCCTCCCGGAATGCTGGGATGACAGGCGTGCACTTCCCTATCCAGCCTGTAAAAACTTCCTAGCCAGAACCCAGAAGGATGGAAAGACAATCACGTGTGAAGTCAGGTCAAGTGCGGGCAGAGGCCTGGATGAACGTGTTAAGTGCTTGCTGCACTGGAGAATGGAAAAGCACCTCCACCAGGCATGCTCTGCCTCCCATTCTCTCTTTTGCAGCCCAGTGTCCCCTCACCACGCCTCATTTCAGTACAAGGAGCCTCGCTTTCCCCAGCAGCCCCCACATTAGTGACACACATGCCCAGAACAGCTCATGGTGGACTCAGGCAGGCTGGGGGAGCAGGCCTCTGCCCCAGAGCATCCACCTCCACCACCCTTTCTCACCACAGGGCATTCCCTGTTGTCTGGAAACAACAGGAGAGGAGCCTGGCAACCTGTCATTTTGACAGGTTTGATAATTGCTATCATTACCTGCAGCAGCCTGCGTGGAAACCTGGCACTTTTCATTGCTTTGGTGCTCAGGACCAAACCCAGGTTCCCTGTTCAGACAAGATTTGTACCACTGAGTTACACCCCCGGCCCCCTTTCAGGTTGAGGCTGTTCTTAGGATCAGTTTTCTTCCAAGCACTCAGGAAGACATGATGTCTCCAGATAGAAAGTTCCATGGTTGTTGAACCCAGGGCCTTCACACTGAGCAATAACCCCAGCCTTTTTTTAGAGTGTCCTGTGTCTAAGTCACTGAGTTGTCCAGGCTGGGCTGTAACTTGCAATCCTTCTTCCTCAGCCTCCCTGAGTGCTGGGATCACAGAGCTGCATCCGCACGCCAAGCGAGTCCCATCCTCTTACAGTGAGGGACATCAAGCCCTCCGATGAGGCCACACTTCCAACCTCTCTTCCCTACAATGCTGGGATGGTCTGTGAATTTTGCATAGTTGAGCAGAAAATATTATGCTTAGTCACCAGAAAGAGACGGGAACTTTCAGCTGGGTCTGCAGGAACCCTAGGATTAAATCACCCCACAGGAATGAATGATTCAGCATCCCCCAACCCCCCTCACTGAATGCAAGAAGACAATCCATCCAGGAACAAAAGAATGGAGAAAGCTGCTTTGGCACATAAAAAGGCCACAGTGGCATGGAACCTGTCTTTAGGGACGTGTCTCCCTGGCTGTATGGAGAGGAGCCTTAGGGAGAAAAGCACTGCTTGCAATCAAATGCTAATCCAATGTTTCCCCTGGAAACTCAAGACTTAGCTTCTGTCCTGACACAAGAGCTGCCTCATTTTCCAAACATGGAACTAACTTCGGTGCTGAGCAGGTCCTTGTCTGACTCTAAGTAAATAAATGTGCCAGTTACTTAGTAACAGTCACTTTCTGATTGTCCCTGAGACGGGATCTTCCAAGTCATCTTTTCCAGTTACATCAGGGAAAAGCAAGAAGTGGTAATGTGTTTCTTACATGGATGGATACAATGCTCCACCCAAAAGCCAGAATCACAGCACAGGTCAGCTTCCCAGGTCCAGAAAGTCCTTTTGGTTTGGAAGGCAGTGCGGAGGCATCATGGGTGTGCTCACAGACTGTCCACTGGTTACAAAGGATGAATTTGTTAGTACCCCTGTGGCTCTCTGCCCTTGAAGCTTATGACAGTGCTAGGCCTGGTGGGTGCCAAGCACAGTATCTGTGGTGGCATCACTCTACCTCCACCTTGAAGAGTAACTCAGGAGCAAACAGTAAAGTGGGTATTAACAGACTGGCGCAACATGCTACCTAGAAACTGGTGACCAGAGCACCTCCAGGGACTACTCCAAATTCCCAGTGGCCTTGATCAGGATGTCTTCCTCAACCTGTCTTCTCTCCGTCAAGCACTTTGTGATTTGCAAGCACTGTTTAGATTTGTAAGGGGTAGGAACCAATTCTTCCTTTGCTCAACAGTTCTTCTGGGCAAAGTAGAACTGTGGTCTTTGGGGTTCTTCCAATCCTTTGCCACAAACGTTCTCCATCTTCACCTTAACCTTGATGAGAACATCCCAGGTCCCTGAGGCCTTCCAACCAGCTGGAATTTTGCTACAGTAAATACCTTAACATGCCTAGTGATAAACCTTGCCCACCGTGGACTCCCTCTGATTCTGAAGGATTTGCTAATGCGTCTCTGCCTCGCTTGCTCCCTTAGGCTGAGGGGCCTTTCTGGTAGCATCAGGTCTCAGCTGTGCCACTCCTGCTGTCCCTCACCCCTGCCCTCGACTGCTCACACACATAGCAACACCCCAGCCCATTGCTTTGCAGACCACTGTGCCTCAGTGGTCCTGAAAACCATAACAGAAATGATAGTCACACATGCAAAATGCTTCTGCCTCCTGGAATGCATTTTCTTGAGAAAAAAACTAACTTTACAGTGTGACAGCTCATTTCAAATTGTCACAGTTTACAGGTTGCATTTTTACACGATCTGTGAAAACAAATGTTTGGTGAATTTGGATCATGAGCCATGATGACCACCCTAGAAAATTTCGGAAGGACTGACTGATTCTCTTGCCCTTCTGCAGGTAAATCCTTCCTTGTCGAGAAGACCGCGCTGTTAAAGGGGGCTTCTTTTGGCTGCTCCTGCTTCTCCTCACTTGGCTCACTTGGGTTTCACAGAGCTGAGAACTCGTAGGTGGCTGTTTTCTTCCTGGTGGAGAATTGTCCCGGAATTTCCTCTTAACAAAGAACAAATCAAAGAGACTTTGGCCTCTCAGTTCCATCCATAGACTCTTGAGCTCATCCATCCTTTTACTCTGCTAGCCAAGACATGAACTGTTAGACTTGCCAACCTTAGTCTTTCACAACCTCCAGAGAAGATAGGACTCTAACTGTTACAGACCCAACTGCTAACAGTGTTCCGGTTCGGGTAATGCTGGCAACATGGAATATGAGGGCGGGGAAGAGATTTGCCATATGGCAAAATGCAAAGGCCTTAGTGCTCTGTCTTTGAGTTCACAGAAAACCATCCCACTTGACCTGTGATTGCAATGCACACATAGTTCTCTTCTCTCATTCTTTGTTTTGCTTATGCACACAAATCCAAAAGAAAACATGTACTTGCAGTAAAAGAAATCTAAATAAGTACAAGTGTTGTCATGAACAGGAAAAAAATCATGCCATCATTTACATATCTTTTAAAACTTGGGTTTTCATTCAAAGCCTGCACATTTTCATCTGTTCAGACCTTTCTTACTCAGTAGCAAAACACAGTGTCAGTCCATCATCATCCAGTGCATTTTTTTTTTACCCACATAAGCCCAGCGCAAATTCTATACTTGTTCCACACTTACCTGCCTTCAGGAAGTTCTTGTCCTGAGAGACAGTAAATCCACAGTGCTTTATATACAGCTCTATCCTGCTGCTGCTTTTGAGAAGGGTTGGCCTCATCCTATTATGAGATTTACAGCTAAATCCCATAAATTATAGAAGTAATAATAATAATAATTACAAATACTTTGAACTTATAGAAAGCTTCAAGAATGTCCTGGTATTTTGCAAACATTAACCAATTAGTTTCTTGCCACACCTTGGAGGGAAGATCCTAATTGTAGGTTCCTGTTGACACTTTAGGTCTGGCGTTTGTCTTTATTCACACCAGTTTCTAGGAATGGGGTTAGGTAAGAAAGAGAGGGATGGAGGAAGAAAGAGAAGGGTCAGGAGAGAAGAAGGGAGAGACAGAATGAGACAGAGAGGAGGGAAACCAGGAAGAAAAAGAAGGGTGGGAGGGAAAGAAGGAAGGAATAAAGAAGGAAAGAAGGAAGGAAGGATGGAAAGAAAGAAGGAAAGAATTACTATTTGGGTGGAGCAGGGCTCCTGGGTCGGCATCACTGATTCCATATGGCTGCTTAGACTTTGATTCAGGTTTCTCCCCATGGCTGAGATGGTGAGGCCACAAAGGCAGAGCACCATGGGTAACAATCCAGGGATATCCAGGGAGTCCCCAGATTCTAAATGTGGGAGGAAGTATGGGAACCCTCAGTTCCTCTTTGTGACAGGCAGAGGCAGGATAAAAGGTAGAGAAATAATTTACCGTGTTAAAAACTGTGCCACACTCCCCTCCCAAGCTCCCTTTCCCTCCATTTTGTCGAGCAGTGACAGTCACACTCTGATCATTAGGATGGATGACAGGGTGAGGAAGTCTGGGATTCCCACACCCTCATCCACCAGGGCACCATGTTATCAGCACTGAAGCCCGCATCAGCGTCCTGGAAATCCCTCGCTGGTCGGCAGCCAGCATGTTGCCAGGCAACCATTCCAC